TGGGGGGGCGACCTATAGACACCTGTGAAATGGTACTGACGTAACCATATAAAATACTCACCAAGACCCAGAAACGTGAAGACTGCTTTGATATTCTTCTTCATATCCAAGGCATAGTCTTCATTCCTCAACACCAGCACCTGGCCGGGAGGGAAAACGTCCAGCCATTTCCCCAAAAATATGTCGTACATACCCGGGATCAGCCGCACCTGCCAAGAGAAAAAGATGCACGTACGTCTACTTGTAAAGAAAAGAAACCCGACTGGATCATGCTTCTTGTATATTATCTAAACCTTCGTTATTTCGGATAAAGTGAGTATCAGTTAGATCTAATTCAATTTAAAAAAGAAGAATCAATGTTGACAAATCTTTCTAACAAAAGTAAATAAAAATATGAACAAATACATTCGAAAGAATCTGAACAAATACAAGATTGATGTTTAAGTTATTTTAAGTTTTTGTTGTATGATCAGGCTACAAAAAAATCGAGCGTACCACAGTCTGCATATCTCTTTTACCTTACAACAGGTACAAAAACAAAAAAACAAAATTCCAAATGATATCCATAGTGAGACACAAGGGCCAAATCTCACCCTAGGAAAAAAACACACATCTTCTCGAGCATAGCGTTCCAATATGGATCATACCCTCAGAGATCAAAAGAGTAATTGAGAAACTTTATGAATAACCATGAGCAAAATATTGACCTTCTTCAAGAGAAGCTATTCGTTCGTTAAATAATCATAAAAAGATGCAGAAGTAAATTTGTACAAAAAATTATAATAACTTTTATGAGGTTCTGTTTTCGTGCAGAGCTAGGGTCTTAACTTGCGGCCGCCATCTTGGTAAAAGGGGCATAACTCTGGAAAACTAATACGTTGGTTTCAAAGTAGATACATATTGTTCAGTGCTGAAAACTTTTGTTCAAATATTGTATCACTCTTACAGTTAAGGTAAATCTGCATGATCCATTAATAAAACACTATGCAGGAATGTTAATCCTGCATCAGACACAAAATAGACCAAAGCGAAGAAGGTCAATGCGTGCTGAAACACAAAGTCATAAAAACGACAGGCATGTTTCGTGCCGTATTAAAACTGGGATCTAAATCTAGACTCAAATCTTGTCAAGTCAAAGAAAGAACGTCGTATTATTTTGTTTAGGTGCTGCTCTGCTTCAAAGAGCCCACAGCTCTTACAGGGTCAGAAAAAGAACAGGCATATCCGGAAGCCATCACTTCATTTCCGTTGAATATGGCGTGATATGTCTCTACTAATAATCATGAAATTTTTACCCTTGAATAGGTTGTGTTTAGCTAACATACAAACATTTCCACTCCTTAAAAATTTCTTTAAAGGAATCTATAACCAAAACGACGTATACAATCAAAATGTAATGTATTATTATCATGAACCTTGTGTAATTTGAATGACGTCACAACGTTGAAAGACGTGTAGAAAGTATGCTTTGAATGTATAAAGTCACCTTGTATTAGATACATGATATATTTATAATATTATGACGAAAGTTTTGTTTCCCAGTGTTTAGATTGAATAAGAGGAAGTTGTTCCTTTTTCTGCCTGTTGTGATGTTTGATGTTCATATCCGAGCGGTGAAATATTAATCCGTTTGAACTGCATACTGCAAGAGAGGGGGAAAGAGAGAGAGCGGGAGAGAGGGAGAGAGGGAGGGAGAGAGAGAGAAAGAGAGAGAGAGAGAGAGAGAGAGAGAGAGATTATATAACCATGCTCTCGGCACTGGAAGGTACCAATTCGATTTCTAAGAGAATGTTAACATCGGTAAATAACACTATAAAAAAAAGAACACGGTTATGCAGCAGACAAGTAGTACCGGTATGCGCATGTGAAGTTCCTTGTCCAAGAGACAGTGCCACAGCGGACGTGTGGCGTTACACTGAGACAGCATGCTGATTGATGCACGGACATCCCTGTGGAAGTTGGCCGCTGACACGTTGTGCACTGAGCGGAACCGGTCCAAGAACAGGTAGTCTGAGTACAGCCTAAGGAAAGGGAGATAACCACAAAGGATAACGGTATTGGCGGAATTATGTCCCTTGGTTGGGAAATTTCGTCAGAATGAAAGACGGAACCAGGTTTCTCGCCATCAAGTTCTTGCTGTCACAATTAAAAGCACCTTTACTGAACCTTTTGTGTTGACTGTTTGGATGTGAGAAAGGCAAATAAACTGATAGACAAGCAGACTGACAGACAGACAAAGAGTGACATTTTAGTAACAATGGAAAAAGTACTGCAGTGTATACTTACAGAGGGGAACAAAAATTATTGTCACTGTTTTCTGTTGCTGCTGCTATTTTTCTGTTGTGTTGCACTTCTGTTGTATTCGACGAACAACGGTACAAACCAAGATTAAAACCGCAAATGCGAGATTCAAAATATGAAACCAGTACGCTGAAAGGATTGTCAAAACCACCTTCTTTAAGTGTATCGGCGACTTTCAGGAGCATGTATTTTTAGATGTTTAGAGATTTTCTAGAGCCTTTTTCTGTTTTGCGCAGTTTAACAAGCTGCTGTTCAGTTTAATACCTAATGCGACATCCTAACCCCCTAACGTACGTTTGAGTAGTGAGAAATATACTCGTAGGATAAGCCCATTTACGGTATGCGAAGGGAGGGGGGACAAGATAAACATACCAGAACAACGAAAGTAAAGTAAGAACTGGGTCGTTAAGCCTTTCTGAACGCTATCAGTGCGTGACGCTTTGGTTAAAGATGCATGTATATTAAGAAATGATTTTGCTGGGTAATTTTCTCCTTTTCCTAGATTTTCTCATTCTTTCCTTTTCCCTTCTCACTGATAATAAGTCTTACATTCCCTTAAGAGCTCGGGGCTAAACAGGCACACCAGTTTTGTGATCTGGAGACTTCAATGAGCAGTGGTGTGTAACGCCATAGCCTAAGGTTACAGAGGCGAAGGGTCGTCCAAATCTAGATGGCTGGGTAAACAAGTACTTATTAAAAGGGTGGTTGGAGGGTGCCACTGAGACGTCCTTTATGTTTTCTTTCAATCCATTGTTTCTGTCTATCTTGCTTTTTCCTACAGTGAAAAGCCCACAGGGCATTTTCTCAATCATACAAAACAAACCCATTGTTTCATGATTACATTTTTAATGCGCTGGGATTTTTGCGTCAGGGTGGGTTTTTGTTGTTGCTGTTATTGTCTTTTGGGGAGGGGGGTGTTCTGGGGTTGCTGGGTTGTTGTTGTTTTTTTAGTATTGTTTGTTTTGCGTGTTTTGTTTTGGGGG